TCAATCACTATTTTTAGTTAACATGAATAATTTGCAGATGCAACTTGAGAAAATTTTCACTAAATCAATTTACTTAATGTAAAGATAAAACCAAAACACCAAAAAACATTTGCCTCTTGACTACAGTTACAAGAGAGAGCAGCTGGAAAATATTGAAGCAACTTTTGTGAAATTAGTAGATTTGAAGTTTGCAGAGAACTTGCTAGATTCACATTTGCAGGATTGTCAAATCCTTGATCGACAACAGCCCTCAGCTCAGGAAACTCCTCCAGAGCAAACAATATTGGAGCAGTAATAATTCCCTGAAAACAATTCATTTATTCTCTGTATGTTATTTTTAAAATCTGGTGGGCATATTAAGCAGGTAGTTGCATTAAATTATCAGTAAACAGATATCAAATCGTTAGTTAACACTTAACAGTTACTTCCACATATATGCAAGATTGTGAATGCATTCAGGAGTGGACCCACGTCACAAAAATTTGAGCCTTTTTTTTTTTTTTTTCACCACCGCCATACAGCCTACAGATACTTCGTAGAAGGTGCAGCCAGCCGTATATTGGATTCTTCTATTACCACCACTATACATAGTGGTTATATGTATTGTATGCACGACCGTGTGATACAGGAAAAGTAAGGGGGTAGCCGTGCAGGCGTTGAAAGAAGAATAATGATGCTTGAACAAGCTCAATAACAGACCAAAACTGGTAAGACTGACTCGGCAACACTTGTTTTGAGTGTTTTTTTTAAGTGTCCAATCACGTGTCGACACGTGTTCCCCATATTTTTTAACCCGTCTTTGAACTTGTTTGTGTAGCATAATTGGTGACATAAAGAGTGAATAGAGAGACAAGTTAGATTGTGGTCGAATTCGAAAAAGCTACTATATAGTCCATTAAGTGGGAATATTATATTATTTAATCAATTAAGTGGTGTGTATCAAAATTGTATAAATTCAACTTTTGTTCAAAAATTTGGTCTTATAAACTATGTCATTTTAGTGTTTATAGATTAGTTAAGAAAAATATGAATGCATATTGCATATTATAATTTAATGGCCCAAATTTAACGTACGTTTCAAGCCTCCGAAAACTCAGACCTCGATTAAATTTCATCCTCACTGAATAGTATTCCCGACTCCACCCTTGAATATTTGCAGATACTGTTGTTGCAATTTATTATTTCCTCGTTGAATTCATTGGATATCACACGTTTGGATATATAATATGACGACAATATACTTCTTTCACTTGAAAAATGCAACCGACTTATTGTAGTCACAAACATGTTCGTTGTTGTTCATGTATTATAAATTATCAGGCAAATCTTTATTTTTTCCTCGAAAATTTCTTGTTCCAGTTCATTTGCCGAGTTATATATTTTTTTCTGTTTATTCATCTTTAGTTTTTAGAAAACTCGTGTATATATATCGTGCCGATATTTGACATAATAGAAACTTGGGGGGCCACACCAGGTACACTCAAGCGCCAACGATTGAAGCCTTACCGTCCTTGGAGTGTTTCATATGCTTGAGCGTCCTTAATTTTTGACCCCACCACCCCTAAAAGCATTAAGTGGTTAAAGCATCTTCAAAAGATTCTTTATTTTTGAAGAGCGTGTTTTGTAATTTAGAGAGTATCTATAAATTTAGAGTGTAAAATTTTTTTTGTACTTCAACGTGCTCTTTATATTTAACACATATTTTTACTACTCTTAAAAAATATTTATTGTTTTTCCCTATATTTTATTTTCACCGATTGCCCTCATAATTATTGTATTACTTTTCTTCATTGAAAATTGAAATATTTTGAATATATTTAATTATAGAGAATGCTTTCTATTTTTAAATGTTAATTTAAAAAAATCTTGAAATATAATTTCAAAGACCGACTCCTTAAAATAGAGAACGTCTTACATTCAAAGAGCTCGTTGGAGATGCTCGGATGTATGAACCAAAAGCTTCCAGTACTCTTTTCTTCATCCAGGGTTTTAGAATCATGACTTTCTTAACCGATTTCTAATGGCTTAGTCCAGGATGGCTCAAGTATCAACCCATCACACCCATAACAAATGCAATAAGAGGGGGCATTTGCATACCTGGTATACATTAAGCGGCTAACAACAAATTGCGTAGGGACTGATATCAGCTTTACAAAATCCAACTATAACGAAAGTGTTGGTTCGCTGATGTATCAACATAAGATCCCTAGTACTGCAAACATAGGAATGAATGAAGGATAACAAATTCCTTTGGAGACTAGGGGCAGCGTGTAGTCATGTATTTAAAAAATTTCAACAAGAAAAATTAATAACAAGTATAAAATTAAATTTATATTATATAAATAAATAATTTTAAATAATCTAATTAACGTGTCAGCAACATATCATGTCTGTACCTTTTTTAAAAATCGTGTGTCGATGCATCCGACACTTATCGGACACTTGTCCACTTGTCCGTGTCGGTGCATCATAGAAAATGAACAAAATAGATGTTTGGCATCTTTATCCAAAGGTCATATTCAACTTTTCCAATTTTCCTTTTTCTTCCATAAATACCTTATTTCCCATCACGAAGTTCAACAAACCAATCCCACGCCTCGTATCAACATCATCCAACGCGTCATCGTGAAGGAGGCTGGCAACCTACCAAAAAGAAAAGAATAAAATAATTGGTAATTGTTGACCTAATTCAGTAAGCAAGTTTCTCTCCCTTAATGTCTGTCATCTAGAAAAACATGTCCTCTGAAAAGTCATAGAACATTATTGGATACACCTGGTCTTTTATTGGGCTTTTCCACTTTTTTGCAGAACATTCAATGAAAAACTCAAAGACCAAATGAAAATCAAGGTAAAATAGAAGTTACCGCTTATGGGGAGAGTTACAAGTAAGCAAATGTAAGAAGGAGAATTTAAACATGCACATGTAGTTTAGGATATAGCCCCTCGTTCTCCAGAATCCAAAGAAACCACACAACTTTCCTTCTATTTCCTCATGCCCTTTCAGAAGGTCAAGTACTTCCATCTTTATGAAGCCCGTTCCACCATCCGCACTAATCAGTGCAATCATACTAATACTATCTGTGATTCAGATCTATATTCTGAAAAGGTTAATTACCAAAAAGCCATGATTAGCAACTTTTTTATTGCTACCATGACAGCATGCATCACCTTCAGGATGCTAGACACCAGACCAAAGATTTTTGGTAATACCCGTAATTCAGAACCTGCAGTCCACCATGAATCCCAAAGTTGGGTTGATGGAAATAATATATTCATTTTTTGTCCATACATTATCTCTGGCTACAACTGTCAATGTCTGATCTCCATCAAGATAAGAATTGCCATTAGCTTCATCAACATAAAAGTTACAAACTTTATGCAGAAAATTATTGTGTGAGTATATTCTATATACACTCCAGTAAACTCTCCTACAACAACGTAGCCTCTCCACTACAAACCCATCCGGTTATTTCAATTTACATATTAACTTAATAACTAGAAATAGATCTCTTCCAAACTATACTCCAAAAAAGAAATTACGATTACAGGAAAAAAAACAAACAGAACAAGTAATTCACCATTTCAGAGGACTGGATGGAGGCAATAAAGTGATTGGTATGGTGTAGCAATTGGTGCTCGTTGTAACACAAGATCCATCAACTCCGGCTGTAGCCCGACCTCGCTATCCGGTCCAGCCCATCGCCTAATAGCATCTCCTGAATCTCAATATTTTATATGTATAAATATGTATTCTTGTTCTGTGTGTTAAGTGTTGTTTCAGTGAGATTTGTGCGGATGTGTCATGTGTGGGTGAAGGAAAGAGTTGAGGGTGGCGACTCGGACTTGGCGAGTGACTCTTTGTCGTAATCTCAAGAGTAGAAAGTGATTCTGAAATACTTCATACGTATTGCAAATATGTAATTCTCCATTGAACAATTCTAGGTGTACAATCATTAGTGGTTGACAACACTTACAACACACTCACATTAGTGTGGGCCCCACCAATTAATTAATTGGTGGGGCGCACACCAATGTGAATGTGTTGTAAGTGTTGTCAACTACTAATGATTGTACAAATAGCTTTTTTGTTCTCCATTTATCTTTTTGTCTAAGTACGAGAGAAACACAAATATTTGAAAATAAATGTTAATTATCATACATGCAAGTAAATAGTAAAATTCATACTTGAATGTGAATATTAGAATTACAACTAAGAGTAATGCCAAATAGTTTCAATGGAGTTGCAATGCAGTCTAAGTGGCTCTCGATGACATGCCAAATGAAATGCAAAATTAAATAAGTCATTTGATTTCACTTATCATTTAATGCTATATTATCGTCATCTAGACTGGAGTTATAACCTACCTCAGTAGGGCTAAACTCTCCAATTGTAATGAAAATAAAATTATTTTTCGATCCTCGACAAGAAAAATATATGAACTAATTAAAAATATTGGTACAATTACAAAGTAAAGCTTCAAGAAATTGTTAATCTCCCCCGCGCAATTAAAATAGGTCAAAAGATGGAGTTAAATTTGTCAGTTTGCAGCATTCTCTTGTTCGCCATCAATTGTACTTTTTGGGCGTAATTGTATCTTCATCACTATGAGAATCACTCCCAGCAACTGGTAATGATTGATCCACTGGGAGAGCAAAAAATCATAACATACAGCTACATCCTTTGGATATAAGAATCTCTTGAAGTAGAGAATACCCTGTACTAAATGCTTCAAACTCGAGTAACCTTCCCACGGACTTCTTGATTTAACGTGACAATCTCAGGTCTCTAAGATCTTCATGAACACAATATGACTGCAATACCACAAGTATACATCATTTCTGTCACTGATCCAGAAACTGCATTGGTTTGGCATGCATCCATATGCTCCTCATGCAGACGGTAGCATCATGAGAAATAGGACTTTCTGAAAGATACCTGTTTGAAGTTGAAGCTCAGTTCATACATGAAGTCATCAAAATTTTCAGGCTCAAATCTGCTGTCAACCGTGGTTAGATTGATTCTTATTTCTGAGAAGATGCAACAAGCTCAGTGTGTGAGAAATCGAACTTCTGCAAGATTTCTGCACATCACAAATTCAAATGAATTAGTAGGACGTTTTAAGCAGCATATACAGACAAATTGTACAAAATACGAATTTAAGTTTTTTGGGATAAGATCGCAATGATACTTTCACCAGGCGTTTGTTTCCAAGATATTATTTGAAGTGCAAAATGATTTTTTTTTTTTTGAAGTATGTGTTGTTAAAAAGTAGGAAAAGGTTATGTGTCCAAGTGAAAATTTATTTTATTGGGAGAATATGTGGTTAAAAATGAGTTTGACGAAAAATGATTTTCAAATAAGCTATGCCAAACAGACGCTAAATTAAGTTCTTTTCCAAAGAAAAAGTGAACTTCGGGTTGGGTTTGAAATTACCTTTATTATAGAGATGCTCCACATTTGTACAGAATCAGGACTCTATAATCAGATGTTCTGTTCAATCAGAGAGCTGCATTCACTGCTATTTCGTCCTCCATTTGAATGTGTAGCAAAGACAGGCAGTCATAAACTAATTCAGCTTGTGAGAATGTCTTGTCTTCAGCTAAGAAGGATCGGATTCTTCTGTCAACTTCAATCCAGCTGCAACCAGGATTCTTTCTCAACCCTAAATCTTTCATCTTCAATCTCACCTTGCGTGCCTCGTCCCATTTCTTGGTAGAAGCATACATCTTTTCCAAAACAATATAAGTTGATGGATCATCTGGATCCTTCTCAATTAGAAATTTTGCAATTTCCTCCCCTAATTTTAATTCCCCATGCAAATGGCATGCAGAAAATAGTGTGCTCAATAAATCAACGTCCTCTCTGATATGTTGACTTCTCTGAAGAATCTCATAAGCTTCATATAATCTCCCAGCACGTCCTAGAAGATCTATAAGACATGAGTACTCTGCAATTGCAGGTTGGATACCATAATTATTTACCATTAAATTAAAGTAATGGTGCCCCTCGTCAACTAATCCTGCATGACTGCAAGCAGAAATTACAGCAAGGAAGGTAACCCTATCTGGCTTTATATTAGATTTTAACATTTTATCAAAAAGTTTCAAAGCTTCAAATGCTTGACCATGAGATCCGTAAGCTACAATCATTGAAGTCCATGACACTAAATCAATTGTAGACAACTGATTAAATACACCTTGAGCCTCATTTATAGCACCACATTTTGCATACATATCCAGAAGTGCCCCCATTACTATTTCGTTGGAATCCAACTTACTTTCAGCAATGCAATTATGTAACTCTTTGCCCTTTTCCAATGCAGCCAATTGTGAACAAGCTGTCAATGCACTGGTGAATGTAATTGCATCAGGTTTTATACCTGCTTCCCTCAAGTCATCATATATGCCAAGAGATTCAACGTAACAGCCTGCCGATACATAACCAGAAATCATTACATTCCAAGCAACTACATTGTTTTTCGGAATCATTCGAAAGACTTCTTCAGCTAGTACAACACTTCCACACTTGAAGTACAAATCAATTAGTGAGCTGTAGGTGAATATATCAGAGACTATATTATTTCTTATAATATAACCATGAACAAACTTTCCATGTCGCAGTTGAGTTGATGTAGCACAGGCCCCTAACAAGCTGGTTATGGTTGTTGAACTAGGCATAACTTTATCTTGCTTCATCCGCACTAAAAGTTCAATGCACGACACACTATCCCCCCTCAAACTGTAACCTCCAATCATTGCATTCCAAGAAACCAAGCTCTTATTCCCAATTTTGTCAAACACCTCTTTAGCCCTCTCTAAGCAGCCACATTTCCCATACATATCCACAAGAGACGCTTTCACAAAACCATCCAACACAAGCCCATCCCTCACCACTTCTTCATGGATCCTCTTCCCTCTTTCCATATCCAAAAGCCTTGCACAAGATGAAATGGCTGTCGTGAAGGAGACAGAATCGGGCCTAAACCCCAATTTTTTCATCCTCTCAAAATAACCCAAAGCTTTCTCGTACTGACCACTTTGATAATAGCAAGAAATCACGTTATTCCAACTAGCCACGTCTTTTTCAGGCATTTCATCGAACACCTTTACAGCTAATCCAAACCCTCCGGACTTGGCATACACACTTATCAAAGAGCTAGCGACAACAACATCTGATAAATACCCGGATTTTATCAGATTGACATGAACCTTGATTCCATATTCTACTCTCCTTAATCCACCACAAGCCTTCAACACACTTGGATACGTGTAACTATCGGGTTTCAAATCCGGGAACCGCAACAAATCTTCAAACAACTCAATAGCTTCATTGAACATAAGATTTTTTGTGTATACTGAAATTAGGCCATTCCATAATGTGATGTCCAATGGATTTTCAATATTTTGAAAAACCAACTTTGCTAACTTATATTCCTGACATGAAATATAACGGTTGATGAGGTTTTTGCATACAGCAATGTTGTTTTGTAAGCCATAAGAAATTATCTTTTGGTGTATGACTTGGATTTGTTTAAGTGATTCTACATTCAGCCACCATTTTTGGAGAGAAAACATTCTCTATAAATCCTTCATCCTGCTTTCAGCATGATCAGTACTAGAGCACCCCAACCCCAAGACATAAATGAAACAAAAAGGTCCACTGGCAGATTAAGTCCACCCAAACCAATATCATTCTCTGTCAAATGCATCAAATGCGAACTCAACCAATATCAATCTCTGTCGAATGCATTCCAACCGGTCAGATTTTTCTGTCAAGTGCATCAAATGCAAACTGTACTAACTCATTCTCTGTCAAATGCATTCCAACCAATATACATCAAATGCATAAAGTAGCAATTTATACAAGAAAAAATGCAACAGTGTAAAAACTCGTTTGTACTGTATTATGAAACAGAGATTGTGCAGTGAATCCGGTAGCAACTTCCCTTAAACCGCTACTCAGGCAAGGGAGCCAGGATTTTCAGTTAATAGTCGACAATTAAAGAAGATTTCAAATTTCAAACAGATGAAGAAGAATGTTCAATTCTCAAATTTGGTTTCAGAAATAGATGAAATTTACCTTTACTGCGCTTCGAATCACAGTCGGAAGTTCTAACAAACAACCGATTTCAATCAATTTGGGGTTCCTTGTGTTCTTGAAATGATTACAATCAATTTGGTGTTAGGGTTAGAGGATTGAATTTTTTGGGGAATTAATGTCGTCTTTTCCTTTTCACAAATAGGTGAATGTCGTGTTTGGAAAATAATGACATGGCTCTAAGTTGATCTCAATCCAAGCTGCAACATATATTTGCGCAGCTCAGGAGCTAGTCCATGATCGAGCTGCCGCAGGTGACGGTGGCAATGGAGGTGTTTTCTGGGAATAAAAAAGGGGGGAGAGAGAGACAGAGAGTGTTTGGTTGGTTTGTGGTGGTGGTGGCGAAGAGGAGGAGGAGGCAGTGGTAGTGCCGGCAAGGAGGTGGTGGTGGCGGCAACTTGGGTGGGGAGAGAGAGAGACAGAGAGTGTTTTAGTTTTAGTTTTGTCTTTTTTTTGTTATTTATTTATTTAATGTTTTATTTGCCAAGTTACCATTTTACCCCTTTTAATTTTGTCAAAATTGGTCAAGGTCTACTATTCTTGGTTGACTAACGGTCAACTAGACGATTTCCATCCAAATGGACATCCGGCGCATATTTATCTAAGGTTTGGGATTGTGGCTGGCATAAATCAAAAGTTAGGGTAAA